AGGAGAGGAAGGCCCTCTATGAGGTGGATTGATTCAGTGACTGGGATAATTGGGATGGGAATGTCAGAGACAGTGCGATTGGCACAGGACAGAGAGGAGTTTAGGGCTGTTGTACATAGGGTCGCTATGAGTCGCAGGCGACTCGACGGCACATAACAACAACAACAACATAAATAAATAAATTTGTATCTTCATGACATTATCCTTGATAAAACCTGTGAAGGCAAAAAATGTGTCTCATTCAGAGCTTTGTCTTCCTCCCAACTTAACTCTATTTTTTTAAATTTTATTATTTTTGTGTGTGTGTTCTATCAAAGCGGATCTGACTGGTATAGGAGGAGATTGTCCCTCCTTCTCCAACCAAGCATCTGATGGATTCGAACCCTGTACCTCTGGGATTGCAGTGCAGCTACTTGCCCAAGTTACCTCTTAACATGAGGCCTTATATGTAGCAGGTGTTCAATAAATACTTATTAAATGAATGGTCTTAAAAGAAAGGAATATATAGGGAGGGGAAAATATTGGCACCCAGGAATTAGATATGTTGTATGTGGAAACTCTTTAGAACTTAATAGAGGAAAAGTCAGTCTAGATTGAGAAGCATTTGCCAGAGGTGATTTTATAGAGGGAGAGAAAAGGAAGAATATGAGAGGCAAAAAAAACCATCTGGCTGAAGAGAAGTACGCAGTATAAACATGATGAAAATGGTGACTAATTTAGTCTTAGGTCCAGGTTCCTTATTAATAACAAGAAACTTTCACCCTAAGAAGTTGTAAGTTTTCAAAGAGTAAGAGGATTTTGAGTCCTACCAACTCAGGAATAGTTTTGAGGCCTTAAACACTAATGAACGAAGTCCAGATGAACTGTGAAAGATATCAAGACTATCATTCATGAAGAGCGCAAAAAGTCATTACTAAGAAGGAAGAAGAAGACAAGATCAAAATGGATGTCAGAAGAGACTCTGAATATTGCACTAGAGAGCCGAGAAGCCAAAGCAGAGGGAAGAAATCAAGATGTTAAGAGGGCTTCTTGAGAACACAAGGGAATATATTACAATAAAATGTTCAAGGAGCTCGAGTCAGAAAATCAAAAGGGCAAAATTTGCTTGGCATTTTTTAAGCTGAAAGAACTAAAGAATAAATTCAAGCTATGTGTTTCAACGTTTAAGGATACTATGGGCAGAATATTGAATACAGAGTCATTGTGCCAAAAAGAATTGGCTGAACAGTGAAGAATTTCAAGAAACAGCATATGAGCAAGAGGCAATGGTGATGAAGGAGGAAGAGCAGGCTGCTCTGAAGGACTTGGCAAAAAATAAAGCCCCAGGAGTTGATGGAATACCAATTGACGTATTTCAACAAACAGATGCTGCCCTGCATGTACTCACAAAGTTTTGCCAAGAAATCTGGAGGACAACTACTTGGCCAGCTGATTGGAAGAGATCCATATTTACTCCCATTCTAAAAAATGGTGACCTGACAAGAGTGTAGAAATTATCGTGCAATATTGCTCAGGTCACATGCAAGCAAAATTTTGCTGAAGATTATCCAGGAAAGACTGAAACACTACATTAACAGAGAACTACCAGAAATACAGGCTGGGCTTAAAGGAGGTTGTGGCACTAGGACATTATATTGCCAATGTCAGGTGGATCTTGGCAGAAAGCAGAAAGTACCAGATGAATGTCTATCTGTGTTTCATTGGCTATGCAAAGACATTCGACTGTGGATCACAACAAACTGTGGCTATTCTTGAGGAAAATGGGAATCTCAGAACACTTGATCGTGCTTATACAAAACTTAAACTAAGAAACTGTCCTGAGAACAGAGGAAGAAAATACTGCATGGTTCAAAATCAAGAAAGGAGTGCATCCTGTCACCATACTTTTTCAATCTGTATGCAGAACAGATCATCCAGGAAGCAGGGCTTTATGAGGAGGAGTGTAACATCAAGATTGGAGGAAGACTCATTAACAACCTATGATATGAAGATGACATGACCTTGCTTTTTGAAACTGAAAAAGACCTGAAGCACTGGCTGCAAAAAGTCAAGGACTGTAGTCTTCAATATGGATTGAAGCTCAACATCAAGAAGACAAAGATTCTCACCACTGGGCCATTTGGCAGCACCATAATAGATGGAGATGAGATTGAAGTCGTTAGCAATTATAGCTTGCTCGGCTCTACAATCAACATACTTAATACCAGCAGTCAGGAAATAAAAAGATGAATCGCATTGGGAAAATCTGCTGTCATGGACCTCTCCAGAGTGCTGAAGAACAATGATATTTTAGATACAAATGTGCACCTAATCCAGGCCATGGTTTTCTCAATTACTTATTATGCTTCCAAAAGTTGGACAATGACTAAGGATGACAGAAGAAGAATAGATGTCTTTGAGTTGCTAGAGAAGAATCTTGAACATAACACGGACTTCCAAGAAAACAAATAGGTCTGTCTTGGAGAGAGTGAAACCAAGTCTCTCCTTGGAGTCTAGGATTTTGAAGCTGCACCTCACTTACTTTGGGCACATGGCCAGGAGAGATCCATCCTTGGAGGAGGACATCACA